CGCATCCAGATGGCTTAAATTCGAACTTAAACCCCGAACCAAGCAGTGGCCACCAGTCGAGCGACACGGGAAAGATTTAAATTCGAATTTATGCCTTTCTCTCGATTAGGGGTAAAATCCGCATTTAAGCCATAGGCAATCGACGAAGATTTACCTACATACAAAATACGCAACGTTGAATGTTCTGAGGAAACCTTAAACCTCGTCGAATCCAAATATAGTATCAGCCCTGCTAAGACGGAACCCTAGGAGAGCGGTTTGCTTTTTGTTTTCAATTTCTCTAGTCTCGTTCGAAATTTTCAAGTCTCTTTCGTGCGGCTTGCTCCTTTTGCTGAAACTCCCCACTTCTTTTCGAGCGCTTTGCTCCGTGTTCTGAAACTCTCTAGATCCTTTCGAGCGGTTTGCTCCTTGTTTTTGATGTCTCTCATTCCTTTCGAACGGTTTGCTCCTTGTTTTCAAATTCTCTCGTCTCTTTCGATCGGATTGCTCCTTGTTCTGAAATTCTCTAGCTTCAAATTCTCTGGTTTCATTCGAACGGTTTGCTCCTTCTTCTGAAACTCTCTAGTTCCTTTCATGCAGTTTGCTCCTTGTTCTGACATTCTCTAGTTCCTGTCGAGCGGTTTGCTGATTGCTTGCAGTTTCTCTAGTCGCTTTCGACAGTCTCGTCTCTTTCGAGCGGTTTGCTTCTTCATCTGAAATTCTCTAGTTCTTTTCGAGCAGTTTGCCCCTTGTTTTCAAATTCCCTAGTCTCTTTCGAAATTCTATAGACTCTTTCGGGCGGACGGTTTGCTCCTTGTTTTTCCACTCCCCTAGTATCTTTCGAAATTCTCAAGTCTCTGTCGAGCGGTTTGCCTCTTGTTCTGAAATTCCTTCGTGGCTTCGAACAGTTTGATCCTTGTTTTCAAATTTCCTCGTCTCTTTCGCAAGCCTGTAGTCTAATTCGAGCAATCTGCTCCTTGTTCTGACACTCTCTAAATCCTTTCGAGCGGTTTGCTCCTTGTTTTCCACTTCTCTAGTCTCTTTCGAAACTCTCTAGTATCTCTCCAGCGGTTTGCACCTTGGTCTGAAAATCTTTGGTTCCTTTCGAACGGCTTGCTCTTTGTTCTCAACTTCTCTAGTCTCTTTCGAAATTCTTTAGTCTCCTTCGAGCGGTTTGCTCCTAGTTTTCAAATTCTCTAGTCTCGTTCGAGCGATTTGCTCCTTGTTCCGAGTGTCTCTACTTCTTTTCGAGCTGTTTGCTCCTTGTTTTCAATTTCTCCAGTCTCTTTCGAAATTCTCTAGTCGCTTTCGAGCAGTTTGCCCCTTATTCTGTCAGTCCTTTCGACCGGTTTGCTCCTTGTTTCCAGATTCTCTAGACTCAGACGACATCCGCCAGTCTCTTTCGAGCGGTTTGCTCCTGGTCTGAAATTCTCTTGTTCCTTCCGAGCGGTTTGCTCCTTGTTTTCAGTTCTCTAGTCGCTTTCGAGCGGTTTGCTCCTTCTTCTGAAACTCTTCGAGCGGTTTGCTCCTTGTTTTCAATTTATCAAGTCTCTTGCGAAATTCCT